CACCAGTCCCCGCCAGTCCCCACCAGCCCCCACCAGTCCCCACCAGCCCCACCAGCCCCCACCTCAGCTCGGCTCCAGTTTTGCCCAGGACCTCCATCACTGGGGTCAGCCGGCCCCAGCCAGCCCCTGCTGGGCTGTGGGATCCCCACAGAAGGACACGGGATGTTGGGTGCCACCACTGAGAGATGAGGGATGTTGAGTCCCACTGCACCAAGAACACGGGGTTTGGGGCTCCAAATGCCCTGAGGTGGCACCCCCACCCCAATCCAGCGATCCCTGTGCTGCGGGGGGGTCTGGAGGGCTGAGACCTGACAGTACCGTGGTCCGTGTCCCCCCAGGAGCTGATGCAGTCCCTGCAGTGCCAGCAGCTGGAGCTGGAGTGCATCACCTCGCTGGGGGAGGAGATCCTCACCACCTGCCATCCCGACTCTGTCATCACCATCAAATCCTGGGTCACGGTCGCCAAGAGCCGCTTCCAGGAGGTGAGACAGGTGCCCTGTTCCCATCCCTGCCCGGGGGAGCAGAGTGGCACCCACACCTGGGGAAATCAGGGCCCCAAAGCTGTCCCACCGCCCCAAACTTGTCCCACGGCCCCAAACCTGTCTCATCACCCCACACATCTCTCACCACCCCACACATCTCCCACCACCCCACACATCTCCCACCACCCCACACATCTCCCCCACCAGGGACTGCCTGCTGCAGCCCCCCAGCCGGTGCATTGCAGGGATCTGGGGGTGCTCAGCCCCAGAGGGTCTTGGCCTTGCCAGTGTCACCCCTTGCTCCCCCATCCTGTGGCCTCTTGGGGTCACCTGGGGCCTCCGCAGCCCCCTTGGACAGTGGTGGCTCCTGTGCCACGGCAGCCGCCACGCAGCTGAGGCAGGGAAACCTCACCACGGTCCTAGAGACCCTCACACCCAGACCATGGTCCCACAGTGGCCCAGAGCCTCCCTGGGTTGTGGATTTGCAGGTAAGAGGCTCCTGGCACTCCTGGGACTGGTCTGGCAAGTTCAGCCGATCCCACACAAAGCCCTCATTGAGCAGAGACCTGCAGGATCTGCTCTTGATCTGCCCTGGGTGCCACACACCCCAAAATGGGAGAGCAGCTGCCATGTCCACTCAGCACAGACCCGGGGACCCTCAGCACGTGGGGGGCAGCACCCCCAGCCCTGTCCCAGCTGCCCTGGAGGAGCCTGGTCCTGCCCCACGTCCCTGCCCCACATCCCTGCCCCACAGTCCTGGTGGGCTGTGGGTTTCCTGTGTCCGTGCCCCGCGGTCCTGGTGGGTTGTGGGCTCCCCGTGTCCCTGCCCCGCGGTCCTGGTGGGCTGGGGGCTCCCCGTGTCCCTGCCCCGCGGTCCTGGCGGGCTGGGGGCTCCCCACGTCCCTGGTGGGCTGTGTGTTCCCCACGTCCCTGCCCCACAGTCGCTGCCGGGGGTCCGTGACCCTGTCCCGTGGCCGGAGTGGCCGCGGCTCCCGGTGCTGCTCCCCGTGAAGCAGCGGCCCCGTGGCACCTGCCCCAGCCGGGAGACCTCGGGGTGGGCGGCGGGGTGTGCGTGTTCCCCCGAGCCCCAGCGGCCCCGGCTGCCCCGCAGGTGCTGAGCTGGGCGCAGCAGCAGGGCGAGCGGCTGCGGGCGCAGGCGGCAGCGCTGGCGGCCGAGCGGGAGGAGACGGCGCAGCTGCTGGACTGGATCACGGCGGCCGAGGAGGCGCTGGGGCTGCGGGACCAGGAGCCGCTGCCGGAGGAGGTGGAGCAGCTGGAGGAGCTCAGTGCCCAGCACGCGGTGAGGGAGCCCAGAGCCGGCTCTGCCTGGGGATCCTCACGCACCCAGCCCTGGGCCGGCACCTGGCCCGAGCGAGGGCTTTGGGGAGCGCTGGGCTGGGCTCCTGGTGGTGCTGCTCGCTTTTGCATCGTGCGGTCCGAGCCCACCACGTCCACACAGCACAGACCTGGGGACCCTCAGCGCGTGGGGGGCAGCACCCCCAGCCCTGTCCCAGCTGCCCTGGAGGAGCCTGGTCACGCTGCTGGCTCGGGAGGGCCCAGGGAGGGGGGCAGCGAGGGGGGGTCTGCGGAGCACGGGGGGGTCTGCGGAGCACGGGGGGGTCTGCGGAGCACGGGGGGCTGTGCCGGCGAGCGCTCAGGGCCTCGTGTTCATGGGCAGGTGTTCATGGAGGAGCTGAACCGCAAGCAGCCTGACGTGGAGAAGGTCACTAAGAGCTGCAAGCGGAAGCTGGCGGTGGATCTGGGCCCCCCGGCCAGCCGCCGACTGGCCACACGTAAGGACCCCCATCATCGCCCCCGGCAGCCCCCGGGCCCCGGCCGCCCCCTCACCCCGCTCTCCGCAGGTCGCCGCAGCAGCGGGAAGGCGCAGGGCACGGCGGCGGTGCCGCTCGGGGGACTGGAGCCCCAGACACCCCTGATGGCCCAGCTCCTGCACCGCTGGCAGCAGCTCTGGCTGCTGGCCCTGGACCGGCAGTACCGGCTGGAGACGGCCCTGCAGCGCCTGCGGGAGGTACGGGCAGCCCGGGGGTCCCACTGCCCTGGGGGTCCTGAGTACTTCCTCTCCTGCCCCTGGGACCCCCAGGTCAGATGCAGAATGGGGTCAGCAGTCCCAGCCCCTGTCCCTGCAGCTGGGGGTTCCAGCACACCCCATGGGTGCACCTCGACATCCCAGGGTCGGGGGTCCTGGGCAGAGACCCCCCCTCCATTGCCAGGGCTGGGACCGGCAGCGGGCACAGCGTGGTCAGCCGGGCTGAGGGGGGCATGGGGGTCCCGGTGTTGTGTTAATCCCCGTGTGTGCCCCCCCCGAGCTGAGGATGGGGGTCCCGGTGTTGTGTTAATCCCCGTGTGTGCCCCCCCGAGCTGAGGATGGGGGTCCCGGTGTTGTGTTAATCCCCGTGTGTGCCCCCCCGAGCTGGAGGAGTTCGCGCACTTTGACTTCGGGGTCTGGAGGAAGCGCTACATGCAGTGGATCAGCCAGATGAAGTCCCGTGTCCTGGACGTTTTCCGCGGCATCGACAGGGACCAGGACGGGCGCATCAGCCAGCGGGAATTCATCGAGAGCGTCCTTGCCTCCAGTGGGTGCCGGGGGGGGGCTGGAGGAGGCTGAGGGGGCTGGCACTGGGGGGCTGAGGGTCCCCGTCCCCCCACAGAGTTCCCCACCAACGTCCTGGAGATGAATGCCGTGGCCACCATCTTCGACATGAACGGCGACGGCTTCATCGACTACTACGAGTTCGTCAGTGCCCTGCACCCCAACCGCGACCCGCTGCGCCGCTCCGCCGACGCCGACCAGATCCAGGACGAGGTGTGGGGCTGGGCAGCAGCGGGGGGCGGCTGGAAGGGTGGGGGTCCCGCCTGGGGCTGAGCTGAGCGTCCCCCGCAGGTGAACAGGCAGGTGGCCCAGTGCAACTGCGCCAAGCGCTTCCAGGTGGAGCAGATCAGCGCCAACAGGTACCGGGTAAGCGCCAGCCCGGGGCTCCGGCCCGCTCCGACAGCCGCGCACAGCCTGCCCCGTGCGGGGGCCCTGCAGTGCCCGTGGGCCGGGGCAGGGAGGGGGGCACATCCCCCTGCCCTCGGGAGCCCTGGCCCGTGTGGGAGGGCAGGGCAGGGCAGGGCTGGGGGGGCCGCAGGGAGGGGCAGGTCCGGGTGCTGCCGCCTGCTCTCGCACCCCTTCCCGATGCCCAGCCCAAGCCCCAGTGTCCCTTTCCCTGCAGTTCGGGGAGTCCCAGCAGCTGCGGATGGTGCGGATCCTGCGCAGCACCCTCATGGTGCGGGTGGGTGGGGGCTGGATCGCCCTGGACGAGTTCCTGGTGAAGAACGATCCCTGCAGAGGTGGGTTCGGGGGTCCCACACTGCGGGGCCATGCGGGTCACTGGGGGGCACGGCTTCCCGCACTCCCCAGGGTCTCGCACTGCTGCGACCCCATCGCTCGCCCCCTCACCGCCTCCGCTGTCCCCAGTGAAGGGAAGGACCAACCTGAAGATCAACGAGAAGTACCTGTCCTCAGACGTCTTCGGAGCCGCCGCCGCCGCCACCAGGTGTGCAGGGAACCAGTCGGCCGCCTCCTCCAAAGTGCTGTCCCCGAGCCGCTCCAACTCCAGCCTCAGCCTCTACAGCAGCGCCTCGGCCCCCAGCAGCCCCCTGGCCAGGAAGGTAAGGGCCGCGGAGCCCCCCTGAAGTCCCGATCCCCCCAACCCCCCTGCCCGGGCACTGACCCTCTCCCTCCACAGTCGGTGCTGCGGAGGACGCGCTCGGGGGATCGGTGTCCGCGCTCCCGGGGCTCGGGACTGCCCGACGGAGCCGAGCTGCAGTTCAGCGCTGCTGAGGAGAGCCTGGCTGTGGCCCCCCCAGGTGAGCACCGGGCCTCCGCGGGCTTCCTGCCCTCCCCGTGGGGCTGGGGGACGCAGGGGAGCCGGGCTGGCTGTGCGCTGTGGCGCAGGGGAGCCGGGCTGTCCCCCCGGCCCTCGGAGCGCTGGGGCCGGGAGAGCTCCCCGCTCCAACCCCCCGTGCCCTCGCAGAGCCGCCCGAAGGGTCCTCTCCGGAGCGCTGCAGCCCCTGCCGCTGACCCCCGCGCCCGCCCTGCGCCCAGCACCCTCGGCCGGCCCCACTCAGGACCCTCCTCCGCCAGGCTGGAGGACGGCGAAGCCGCGGCCGCGCCCCCCGCGGGTCTCCGGCCCGGCGCTGCGGCCCCCCGAGCGGGGCTGAGCTGTCTGTCCGTCTCCGATCCCGCCGGGGCCCGCTCCAGAGGATATGCAAGTATCTCCCGACACACACCGAGCCCCCTCCCCGGGCTCTGGTCTCCCGCCCCACGGCTCCAGCGGTCAGCGCGGGGGGTTCTGAGCCCCGGGGCCCCGCTCCGAGTGCCCGGGGCTGTGGGACCAGCCGGGCACCCCCCCGCCGGACCCTGCCCTTCTCCCGTACCGTCAGCTCAGGGCGGCTGCGGTACCCCCGGCACCCGGCGTCTCTGACGGGGGTCCCCACGCCGCCTCCCGTGCCCCGGTGGGAGGTGGCCGGGCTCGGTAACCGGGCACCGGGACCTCTGGCCGGACCCGAGCCCCGTTTCTGGTGCTAACCCTCACCCCTCGGCCTTCGGTGTGCGCGCACGGGCCCCCGGCTCCGGCCGCCCCCTGCCACGGGCGGGGGTCCCTGGCGCCCGCGCTCCGTCCAGCGGCGGGCAGCGGGACCCCCGCCCTGCTGCCGCATGCTCGTGTCACCCCGCTAACCGGACAGCAGTAGAGCTGAATGTAACCCGGGCCCACCGCCGCCACAATAAACTGTAGTGAGGTTCCTTTTTCTATCAGCACCCAGGCTGTCCGTCCGTCTGTCTGCTCGGGGAGGGGCCCCGCTCCACCCATCCGCCTGCCTGCCCCTCTGCCGAAGCAGGGCTCCATCGGTCTGTCTGTCTGTCTGCTCGGGGCAGGAGGCTGCACTCTGACATGTGTGCTCACCCCAATGTCAGGATGGGGAGCTGCGGTCTGTCTGTCCGTCTGTCTGTGTGCTCAGGACAAGGGCTGCAGTCTGTCAGTCTGTCCATCTGCTCAGGACGAGGGGCTGCAGTCTGTCAGTCCATCTGCTCAGGACAAGGGCTGCAGTCTGTCCGTCTGTCTGTGTGCTCAGGACGAGGGGCTGCAGTCTGTCAGTCTGTCAGTCTGTCCGTCTGTCTGTGTGCTCAGGACAAGGGCTGCAGTCTGTCAGTCTGTCAGTCTGTCCGTCTGTCTGTGTGCTCAGGACAAGGGCTGCAGTCTGTCTGTCTGTCTGTGTGTTCAGGACATGGGGCTGCAGTCTGTCAGTCTGTCCATCTGCTCAGGACAAGGGCTGCAGTCTGTCTGTCTGTCCATCTGCTCAAGACAAGGGCTGCAGTCTGTCTGTCTGTCCGTCCAGGAAAAGGGCTGCAGTCTGTCAGTCTGTCCATCTGCTCAGGACAAGGGCTGCAGTCTGTCTGTCTGTCTGTGTGCTCAGGACAAGGGCTGCAGTCTGTCAGTCTGTCCATCTGCTCAGGACAAGGGCTGCAGTCTGTCCGTCTGTCTGTGTGCTCAGGACAAGGGCTGCAGTCTGTCAGTCTGTCCATCTGCTCAGGACAAGGGCTGCAGTCTGTCAGTCTGTCCATCTGCTCAGGACAAGGGCTGCAGTCTGTCTGTCTGTCTGTGTGCTCAGGACAAGGGCTGCAGTCTGTCTGTCTGTCTGTGTGCTCAGGACAAGGGCTGCAGTCTGTCTGTCTGTCCGTCCCCTCACCGCTCTCGGGGCAGGGGTGTCACACACCACAGCAGGTGCCACCAGCCCGGTGGCTCACGGTGGCTGGGCACAGCCGGGTGTGCCCCAGCCGGTGCCACCGGCAGAGCCGCCCGGCGCCGGAGCCGCGGCTGGCGAGCCCCAGGCGCTGCAGCGGTGCCAGCGGGCACCGCGCCGCAGCTCCTCCTTTCCGTGGCATCGCTGGCATCGCTGCTGTGCCCAGCACCAGCGCCCACGGCGGCAGCAGGGGGATGGGCCAGGCCCCGCTCCCTGGCTGCTCTCTGGACACCCCACAGCCCGAGGGCACCGGGGATGTCCAGCACGGTCCTGGCAGCTGTGCATCCATCACCTGCCCGCCCTGTCAGGGAAGGGGTGGGGGGTTGGAGGCACTGACCGTGTCCCCACTGCAAGAGCCGGAGCACACCTTGAGCACGGAGACTCCTCAGGCATTGCAGCACCCTGGGGGAGTCCCAGACCCCTGGGGGAGTCCCAGACCCTGCACACGAGGGCTGGGGCTGTTCTCTTGGATCCCCCACCAGCACTGCCTGGCTGTCCCCTCCCAGTCCCAGCCCTCTCGGTCACCTGGCCACGTCCTCATGGCTTCCAGTTCTGCTTTTGCGCTGTTTCACCCTAAAACCTTCTCTCCACCCATTTCTTTCCTGAATAAGCACAGAGCCAAAGGGTCCAGGACTGGAACTGTGCCTGTGCTGCTGGGCACATCCCTGGCCTTTGCTGGAGAAGCCCCACGAATGGCCTGGCACAGGGCAGGACCCCTTGCCCAGGGCACTGCCGCAGCCCCCCAGGAGCCGGGCTGAGCCCACGGCTCTCGGTGCCACATCTGCCAACACATCCCAGGACGTTCCCGCAGCGCTGCGGGCGCGGCTGGAACCGCCAGAGTTGCGTTGCACATTCCTGTGCCTCTGGAAATCTCACCCACCACTCCCAGCCGGGGTAACGTGCCTGGCACCACCGGCACCACCGGCACCGCGGCTTGTGTCAGCCGCATCCTGAGCCCCAGGCAACGGCGCTGGCTTGGGAGGAGAAGACAACAGGCACGGGGTGGCTGGGCCCACACCAAAGTGTTTTGTGTTTTCGCTGGCACCGATACAATGGACAGACACAGGCACAGAGCACAGGAATGGGCACACGGGAACTGCACCCACGGGAACTTCACCGTCCTCAGGGAGATGAGGTGGGGAGCAGGGGAGCCCTGGGAGAGCCCCCGTGGCTCTCTGTGGCTGCTGGCCACAGCATGTGCTGAGTCTGAGGGATCGCAGTGCCAGGGTGACAGATGGAGTGGGTGGCAGCAGTGGGGAGAGGGGCTGGAGACCATCATGGCCAGGTGGGACCATCGTGGCCAGGTGGGACCATCGTGGCCAGGTGGGACCATCGTGGCCGGGTGGGACCATCATGGCCAGGTGGGACCATCATGGCCAGCTGAGACCATCATGGCCAGGTGGGACCAGCAGCCCTGGGTAGGACCATCATGGCCAGGTGGGACCAGCAGCCGCAGGTGGGACCATCATGGCCAGGTGGGACCAGCAGCCACAGGTGGGACCATCATGGCCAGGTGGGACCATCATGGCCGGGTGGGACCAGCAGCCCCAGGTGGGACCATCAGCCCCAGACGGGACCATCAGCCCCAGGTGAGACCATCATGGCCAAGCGGGACCATCATGGCTGGGTGCTCAGCCGTGAGCTCCTGAGCCACCCCCGAGTCCCACAGCCCCACTCATGGGTCGGAGCTGCTGTCCTGGAGCTGGCTGACCCCTCCACGGGGAGTCAGGGGCAGGTGCTGCCCTGCTGCCCAACTGCCCCAGCACTCACCCTGGCTGGGGGAACCCTGGGAGGGGGACACGGCCTGCCAGACATTTGTCCCATTCCATGCATCCCACACAGCTGGAGCTCCTCACTTCCTCCCACCCAGCGGAGCCTGGGTGCACCGTGGGGATGAGGGGCCGTGCCCCAGGGCTGGGGACTGGCAAAGGTGAGAGCACTCGGGTCCCCCCAGACACCTCCTATCCTCTCTCTGGGGTGTGAAGAGAACCGGTGCCAGGGCAGCTCTCCCAGCCCCGGGAAGCACAGCCCAGCTAGTGCCGCTCCGTCCTGGCTTTCCTGCCTCAGCACAGCCGTGTCCCAGGCTGCTCCATCTCCCACCCGCAGGCACCGGGCCCTCCTGCCTGCCCCTTGCACCCACGTCCCGGGCGAAGCCTTTGCGCAGCACCTCGGTGTGGTGTGGCTGGGGAAGGGACAAGAGCCACAGCCTGGAGCCCTCTGGGCCCCCATCCTGCCCCATGGAAAGCACCAGCCAGGCCCAGGGCTGGGACACCGGCGGGGCTGGAGGCAGTGGCACGCTGACAGCCGAGGCTGGCAGGGCTGGAGGCCTCGGTGCAGCGTGGGCTGGTGCTGATGGCAGCTCTGATCCAGCTCTGGGGCCAGCCCATGTCCCAGCACGTGCTGAGTGTGCAGAGCCGTTTGCACGGCCAATGTGTGTGAGCACCTGAGCTCACCTGTGCGTGAGGCTGCGGGCACCGGTCCCGGGCAGCAGAGCCGCAGCGGGCACCGGTCCCGGGCAGCAGAACCGCAGCGGGCACCTCCCAGCGCTGAGCTCAGCGTCTGACCCCAGCCCCGGTGACGGCTGCGCTCCTGCTCTGCCCCGGCCCCTCCCCAGCATCCACCCGGGGCGGGTGGCGAGTGTGGCTACTGACACCCGGCCCGGCCTCCCCGTGCTGCTCCACCGCTGCCACCAGCAGCACACTGAGCCCCCCGAGCCGGGGCCTTTGGGCTGTCCGTGAGGCTGGACTGACAGCAGCAGGGACAGACGGACACGGCACAGGGCTGTCCGTGAGGCTGGACTGACAGATGGACACAGCACAGGGCTGTCCGTGAGGCTGGAGGGACAGACGGACACGGCACAGGGCTGTCCGTGAGGCTGGACTGACAGACGGACACGGCACAGGGCTGTCCGTGAGGCTGGACTGACAGACGGACACGGCACAGGGCTGTCCGTGAGGCTGGACTGACAGCAGCTGGGACAGACGGACACGGCACAGCGCTGTCCATGAGGCTGGACTGACAGACAGACACGGCGCAGGGCACTGGTGCTGCCTGCAGGGTGGGATGTGCCTGTGCGTGGGAGCTCGGCCAGTGGCAGCAGTTTGTGCTGGGAGCTGCTGGGACCCCTCACTGGCTCTGCCGGCTCAGCCCAAGCTCCGGCCGCTCCTGTCCGGACCCAGCGCCCTCCCCAGAGCCGCTGCCAGCGGCCGGGCACGGCCACTCTGCCAGCGCACCCCTGACACCCGCCTTGGGTGGCACCAACCCACCCGCGTGGGGTTTCTGCTGCAGGACAACTCCTCCAACAGAGAGAGACCGTGTCCAGCTCCTCTGCGCTCCCCTTCCCCACGGCACGGCCCCACAGCTGGGCTGGCACTGCAGGGGTGGCACCCAGGCTCCGGGAGCCGCAGCTGCCCACAGGCAGGGGAGAGCTGTCCAGGCTGGTCGCTCCTCATCCTTGTCGGCAGCTGAGGAGCTTTGATGAAGCCATGCGTGCTTTGGTTGGATTTGCCCAAATCGCAGCTGCTCATTACGGCTAATTAACACCACAGCCCCTTCCCATCCCGCGGGCAGCAACAGCCGCCCTGCACTGGCAGGGCTCGGCACGGCCCAGTATGGCCCAGAACAGCCCAGAACAGCCCAGCACAGTGCACTGGGTCCGGTGTGCCCAGCTGTGCTGCCCTGACAGGGAGCTGAGACCTCTCCTGGCTGTCCCTGCAGAAGAAGGGGCCATGCC